GCTGAGTTCACTTATGTAACAGCATTCGTCTGCTCACATTTTCCCAACTTCCCATGTACTTTCCAAACTTTTACCATGTTTCCCAGTATCCTCTCTTCATCCCTCATTTTGTTGATGATCTAGGTCCTGCTTCACATAGTCAACAGAACCCAACAGAAATAACCTCAGCTTTCTTCTTCCTCTTCCCTTTATTTAACTGTTCTCAGAAGGAGAGGTGTCTTTACAAGCTCCCCGTCTCCATTCCTCCCCTGTTGCCCAAGTTCCTGAAAGTGTGGTCTCCATACCTGCTTATGCTACTTAGTTTTCTTCTGAGTGAAAGGAAGGGACCTCAACCCTAAATGCTCTGACCCTGATTGAAGACCCTGTGGCCTGGATCGGCATGTATTTCCTGAATTCTAAACCTAGTGGTCTCTTTCCAGACCTCATCCTCTATCGCTGCAGCATTTATCTCTGTTGTCACATTCTTCTGCTTAAAACTTTTCACAGCTTTTCATGTACCCAGGGCAGGCATTCAAAAATATTGAAGCAGTAGTTTTGATGTCTTTTCTGAGCTTTCACCAGTATTTTTAATGGGCATTACTGCCTAAATCTCAAATGCCTTATAGCCAAAACCAAGTAATGATTTCCTGTGCTCTCCAAACTGATTCCTCTTCCTCTTGCTATTTCTTGGTATTGCTGAGGTTACCATCATTTTATCCATGTACCCATCCATGCTAGATGCCTTAAGGTCATCCTTGACTCCTCTTCATTCTCTGGTTTCCATTTGGTGTCTAAGCTTTGATGAGTATTTCCCACATCTTCTTTTCTTTTACTACTATTTCCTGTGACTCTTGCCTCTTTCTGTTTATTGTCTTTTGTCTGGATTATTTCAGTAATACGTTCAGGAGTTTCTAATTTGGATTCCATGGATGGACCTCAAAGGATTAAAGAACACTCTCAAATTTGTATGCAAATTTTTTGTACATATGCATTTTCCTGGGGAGATCCATTAGTCTGTTCTATGGGAAAGAGAGGAATAGAATGAAAGACAATGACAATTTAAATCAGGTCCACTGATTTATCTTTCTATACCTGCCCTTTGCTATTTAGGTCACTAACCTAGGGCACTTATCTCTGAGTAGTGAGATGGCATGTAAGACATTGAGAATAAAGCAGCAGCAGTAGTCAGTCCAGCTGGGCAGTCAGTTCAGCAGCCAGAGATCAGAGGCTCCTCAATACCAGATCCAGGCTTTAATATCCCAGAGAAGCTCAGAAGAAAGCTGGGGTATCAGCAGGAGCAGAGGGTGTCCTCCTGAGGCCCCTGGACCCATTTGTTCCTGTGCTTCCAAAGGACTTAGAGGGGTATGAAAACTTAACTGGCAAGAATCCAAAGTCAGCTAGTGAGTTGGAGTCCCCAGAAAAAAGTTCAGAACATTCCCCCAGCTAGCCTCCTCTCCTTTGCCTGTTTGGTCTCTAGTTCTTTCTCCACTCTACCAACAGAGTTAGCTTTTAAACACATACCTCCTGGTGCGCCTTCCATGGTTATCACTTACACCTGAGGGTGATTACATAAATCACCCAAAAATGTGGGGTTTTAATCACCTGTGAAACAGGTTAAAAACTCATGGTCATGGTTTCAAGGCCTGCCAGTTAGGACTCTGCCAGCCTCGTCTTCAGCCACTGCCCACTCCTCCCCTCCAAGGCTCTGGCTACAGCAGGTTACTACTGGCTGTTTCGAGAGAACAGCGTCTGTGTCCGTACCCCTACGCCTTTGATCATGCTAGTCTCTCTCTTTGGGGTGGCATTTCCTCTCCATTGCCTATGAACCTCCTACTCATTCTTCCAGGCCCACATTAGCTCTTCCCCTGAGTCCATTCTTAATTTTCTGCCATCACTCTGGCAGAATCAGTATCTCTTGGCTAGAGTCCAAAAACATTTCATACATATCTCTGATAATGTCATATTATATTGTAGATAGCCTATTTTTATTTCTGTCTTTCCTACTAAGCCAGAAATGCCCTACAGGTAGGGACTGTCTTTTGCATGTTTGTATCCCTAACACCTACCTTTGCATCTAGTCTAAACATGAGCTTAGTACCCTTTTGTTGAATGGAATTAGTTATAAAGAGTTTTTATGACTCATTTAAAATTAGAGACCAATGCTTATTTAATAAGTCAGAATAGGCTGTAATAATAATAGTAATAATAAAGTCCCATTTCCACTGCTTATTCAAGTAACAGCTTCCTTTGTGGAAGTAGATTTTGAAAGACTTTACATGTCAGTGTATATTTTTGATGTGCTCATTTGAGATCCTAAAAGAATTATAGTTCTAATGCAGACTAGAGCTTCTATGACATTCCTGTTGATGTTATATTAAATATATTCTATCATTTCACATATCTATATTATATATTTAATAAGTTGCATGGATATGCATTCTGTCTCCTTTTAACCTTCATGGTATATTTTGTGAATTATTTTATAATATCTGAGTAAATTTAGTTCAAAACACATTAATTTGAGCATTTTCCTTGTACAGAAGCATAGTTGCAAAGTTAAGACTCTTGTCTTTATGTTATTTTGTTTTGTTAAATTTGCAGTCTCAGTCATTGCAAATGTGTTTTTTTTTAGGTATTTAAATTAGCTCAGCTATGAAAGTAAGCACAGTCCATAAATTAAGAGCTTCAAATAATTTTTAAAAATCGTCTTCTGTCCTTCATATTCTTTCAGTTTTATAGGAAAAGAATCAGCAGTTTACTTATTCAGCCTTTCCTGAAGTCCATAGTAGGTGCTGGGCATTATGCTGGGTGAATGAGATCGTACTTGGACTTGAATAGTTTACAGTCTTGATAGCGAATGAGCCTTGTAAACAGAGAATTGCAATATAAAAACTTGGAGGAGAGGAAGGAAGACTACTTTGAGAACCGAGATTAGGTTGAGAATGGATGAGTCTGCTGATCAATTTATAGATAAAGAAGCAGAGAGGTGAAGTCTTTTTTTTCTTTTTTTAATATGTGAAGTAGGAACCTAGGTTATCTCTAAGAATTCATAGCAGGGGGTAGCTCTTGAGAAGAACGTGAAGATCTGGATAATTAATAAGGAGAATTAGAGATGAGCTAACAAAGACAAGTAAAGAGTGGCATGCACAACTGAGAAAGCAGTGAGCATAGGACTGAAACTGGATAGCATGAAATTCTGGAGATAACTGTCAGTAGCACAGAGGTGTAATTTTCTCCAGCTGTGCTCTGTGGCCAAGGTGTAGTGCAATAAAACCATATTGTATTCAGGGACTATGGGGTGGTTATAACATAAATTTACAAAGGCCAAATAGTTAAAAGCCCTTCAAAGAAAGCATGGCTTACTAGGGAAGGCAGTATGGTTAAGAGGAAGTTTATAAACTTAGAGAAAATGTAGACGTCAAGAAGTTGGAGATCAGAAGGCTAGTGCTTTGTAGGTACTCAGAAAATCTTCATTTTCTCCTTTCTGGATGTCCTCTCTCTATGCATGTTTCACCACCACCACCTGCCTCAGCTATGGTTTATACATATGAACAGTTTCAAATCATAATGGTAACAGTTGGCTCAGAGGGCAAGATTAGGAGCCAGACTTCTACGTCCTCATCCAGTGTGTCCCTGTAACTTAGATGCTGGTAGTGCTTGGTGGTATTGGCCTCTAGGAGAAGCTCAAGACTTCTCCTGTTATCTCCCTACCACTCATACTTGAAGGGTGAGTCAAAGGCCAAAAGCATTTTATTGGGCAGTGATTCTTAGGGAAGGGATTTACTCTGTGGTGCGAAGGGTTAAGACTGTAAGCCATCAAGTGTTTCCCCTCCCTCTCCATGCTCAACCAAAGGCACAGATCTTATTACTTTCAAGGATTTAAAAAGGAGTCTTTTCTCGGCATAAAGAAAGAAGTAAAGACCAATTCTGACAGCCCAAAGGGTCTTCCTTCTCAGAATCTAAAATTTCTAATAGAGTTGTTTGCATCTTGTGATTTTATGTGAGTCATCAAATGTATTGTGCTTTTTTTCTTAAAGATATACTTTTTAATGCTTCTATTTCAAATAAGGACAAACCGTTTTCCATAGAGACACACTATTTATATTGCATTTTCAGAAATTTCCCTTTTTACCCATACTTAGGAGGTGACACTGAAATCTAATAATTTATTATTTAACAGAGTGCTTTTTTGGGTATAGTATAAAGATATATAATTTTAATAACTTTTGGGGTACAAGTGGTTTTTGGTTCCATGGATGAATTATATAGTAGTGAAGTCTGGTATTTTAGTGCATCTCATTGTCCAAGTAGTGTACATTGTACCCAATATTAGTTTTTTATTCCTCACTCCCCTCTCACTTTCCCCACTTCTGAGTCTCCAAAGTCCATTGCTCTGTATGCCTTTGTGTACCCATAACTTAGCTCCCTCTTATAAGTGAAAACATATGGTATTTGATTTTCCATTCTTGAGTTACTTCGCTTAGAAAAATGGCCTCCAACTCCATCCATGTTGTAGCAAAAGATGTTATTTTGTTCTTTTTAATGGCTGAATAGTATTCCATGGTGTGTGTGTGTGTGTGTGTGTACACATATATGATATATAATAATAAATTATATATAATTTATCGTTATACATAAAACGAGGCAGATGTTTTATTTTTGTAGGGACAGGGTCAACAATGTGTTTCCCAGGCTGGTTTCATGCTTCTGGGCTCAAGTGAGCCACCATATCCAGCCAAAAATAAGTAATATTTTCAGAGTAAGAAGTATTTGTCCAAAATGATAGCATGAATGTGCTCTCCCAGAGACCTTTAACTGGCAGCGTTGCCCCTCAAGCATTCGCACAGTTAGGGGAATTGTTGCTGGATTTTTGGTTGTATATTCTTGTTCATGGCTTATGGACATTAGCATATGTAAATGGCATCACTGTGTTTGCATATGAAGCAGGAAGAAAACTTTGCTTTAGAGTCTTACTTGGATTCTAGTTAGCTGATATAAGACTGTTTTCTTTTCCTTTTCAGGTTGTAAACATGTTAAAGGCATCCTGTTATATGGACCCCCAGGCTGTGGTAAGACTCTCTTGGCTCGACAGATTGGCAAGATGTTGAATGCAAGAGAGCCCAAAGTGGTCAATGGGCCAGAAATCCTTAACAAATATGTGGGAGAATCAGAGGCTAACATTCGCAAACTTTTTGCTGATGCTGAAGAGGAGCAAAGGAGGGTAATGTGAACATCGTCGCTATATGATGAATGAGACCCAGAGTTATGGAGGCAAACTTGTTACTTTGATTTATATTTTGAAGCAACTTACAGATAAATTTACCTAGTACCTAGGTTATATATGGCACTGCACCAGGGACTGTGGGAGATTTACAGGATGAGCAGATGTTGTTACCCACATATTCCTATAAACAAAGGTAGGTGATTGTGTAAGCCAGAGGTTTTGCAAAAACAGGTCATGAATATATTTTCAGGTGACGCTTGTATTCCATATTGCTTCCAGAGACTTGTGCTCATTTATCCTTTGGAAGAAAAGAGGAAATTAAATCCATAAATAGACTTACGGAATCGTATTGTGTAAGGTTCGCATGCAGAAAGCTATCTTACTTAATGCTGAATCTTGCTCAGTTATAGAGTGACAGGATTGAGTTGTCAGAGCTCAGAGGAAAGCTTGATTTGAGTCTCAGAAATGAAATTATTTAAAAATTAAACTAGAGTTTACTAATTCTGTTAGTTTTACATGTCAACTTGACTAGGACATAAAGTACCTAAATATTTGGTAAAACATTTTGGTTGTGTCTGTGAGGATGTTTCTGGATGAAATTAGCATTTGAGTTGATAGACTAAATAAAGCAGATTGCCCTCCCTAATGTGGGCAGGCCCCATTCAATCAGTTTAAGGCCTGAACAGAACAAAAATGCTTACTTTCCTGCAAGTAAGAGGGAATTTCAACTTGCCTGGTTGCCCTGAGTTGGGACATTGGTTTGGATGCAAACTGAAGCATCAGCTCTTGCTGGCTTGGAGGCCTTTGGACTGGAACTAAATAATGCGTGTTAGTTCTTCTGGGTCTCCAGATTGCTGACTCCAGATCTTGGGACTTGTCAGCCTCTGAAATTGTAGATTTTTCCCAGGGAATTGGCTAAAACGATTATGGAGGCTGACATGTATATGTGGGTGTGTATGGATACATACATATTCATAGAGATTTATCATAAGGAATGCACACACTCGCACGAACATTCTGTTGGTTCTGTTTGTCTGTTCTGTTTAATATCCTAATACTAACATATTTTTTTAATTGACAGAAAGTTTAAGAACAATGCCATGAGCGTTCTGGTTCTAGTAATACAGTAGACTAGGTAACCAGAAAACCTTCCTTCTAAACACCTTCAAATGCTAGGTATACCCTGTACCCCTTAAATATGTACAATTGTATGCCAATTAAACACAAAATAAAACTTTAAAAAGTTCTGGGTAAAATATAACTAAAATTATTTTAAATGCATAATTGAACTCTTCAGAAAGAAAACTGAATCTCCAGGAAATTAGAGTCGTAAGATATGGGCTGTAGCTTTTTTTCATAATGTGTGGGTTTGGATTTTAGTACCCACTAGGGAACAGAAAGTGAGTTCTTGAATCCATTTACAGTGTGGACTAGGAACTGGTACCTTCAAACAGGTTGTGTCTCTATGAAAAGCATGGACTAGAAAATATCTGCCACCACCAAAGGGAAATTAACAAAAAATATTAAACTGCTTGGGTTCTGGAATGGAAGCCGGGAAATCTCCTACGGGAATACTTTTTTTTTCTTTTTTTTGAGGTGGACTTTTGCTCTTGTTGCCCAGGCTGGAGTGCAATGGCGTGACCTTGACTCACCACAACCTCCGCCTCCCAAGTTCAAACAATTCTCCTGCCTCAGGGGCCTCCCGAGTAGCTGGGATTATAGGCATGTGCCACCATGCCCGGCTAATTTTGCATTTTTAGAAGAGATGGGGTTTCTCCATGTTGGTCAGGCTGGTCTCGAATTCCCAACCTCAGGTGATCTGCCCGCCTTGGCCTCCCAAAATGCTGAGATTACAGGTGTGAGCCTCCGTGCCCGGCCTCCCATGGGAGTTGTAAACCATGGATCCTTGTTCATGCTGGTTTAGAATTTGAATAAATATATGCTACCTATGTGGCCTGAAATCCCAAGCTGAGAAATTAGTTTAAAAAGTTATTCGGGTGCAGTGGCTCATGCCTGTAGTACCAGCTACTTGGAAGACTGAGATGGAAGGAACTAGAACCTGGGTTCACTAGAACCCAGGAGTTCTAGGCTGCAGTGAGCTATCATTGTGCCATTGCACTCTAACCTGGGTGACAGTGCAAGACCCTATTTTAAGGAAAAAAAAAAAAATTAGTCCTGGCCTAGTGATAGCATAAGTTGTCAGATATAAGCAAACCCCAAGGGGTACTCCAACAACCTAGGCTGAAAGGAATAGAAAAAGTAGTCATCAAAATTTAAAACTCAGCAACCAAATTTAACATAAGACAACAAATTTCAGCTGAAGAGAGAAGTGGTAAACAGAAGAATAAACCTAAGGAAATCACCCGGAATGTAACACAGAGAGATAAAGTGATGGAAGAGATGAAAGCTGAGATGACAGAGTTAAAATGAGAAGTCCAGATAGAATAGTGTAGAGGCATTATTCAAAAAGAGAATGACTGCAAATGTTCTAAAATTAATAAAAGACACAAGTACTCAGATTCAGGTAGCACCATGAGTCCATATGGGATAAATGAAAATTAACTTATTTCTAGACTTGTTATAGGAGAATGCCAAAGAAAAATATCTTAGTAACAAAAGAAAGACATGGAGATGATTTACAAAGGGGTATCCATTATGCTGATAGCAAACTTTTCCATGACAGAGAGAACGAAAAACAGTAGAATAATATCTTCAGAGAGCTAAGTGAAAATAACTGTCAACTTAAAAGTTAATACCCAGCTTAATTCTCATTCAGGAATGAGGGTGAAATAAAGACTTTTTTTCTTCAGGCAAAGGATAATAGAATTAACTAGTTGCAGAAGCTTGTTGGAAGATTATGAAGTAGGATGTACTGAGACTGAAGGAAGTTGAACCCAGAAGGAAACAGTAGATCCAAGAAACAATGATGAGCAATAAAATTGGTAAAAATATAGATAAAGTCTGGGAGTTCTACTTCTAGTAGTGGCAAATGAGGTCATTTGAATCATGCTTTCCACTGAAGACTACCAGAAAAGCTCAACACAATTATTGAAACATGTTTTGCTTGAAGGTATCAAAGAAGAAAAATGGAGGCCTAGAACAAAGGTCCTCCTGGTGTACTGGGTCACTGTTCCTCTCGAGGTATTAGCCAGTTCTGCATGAAGCTGCTAAAACCTAAGCAGCCCTTTTGACATGCTAGTGGGAGTAATGGGGGCAGAGATTAGAGCCCATGGCCCCTGAGGGAGGGGACACCTGATGAACATAACTCATTTTAAGTCAGGACCCTGAAGGGCTATACCATAGGAGCAAGGGTTAACCAGGAATAGACATACTATCACCGAGGCTGAAGATCAGCTTTGAATCATGTCAGTCCCTAAAATTAGATTGAGGGTTCCTAAACTGTTAGTGCCCCTAGGCATCTGGCAGAATTGTAAATCCTTCCTGGAGGAAAGTAGTATCATGTAAGGTCACAAATTATTTCTAGTTTGCAAATGCAATGTCTGGCTTATAATCAAAAGCAACTGGAAACAGATAAGCAACATCAAGAAAAAGAAAAGATGGTTGAAACAGCCTCTAGATATTGGAATTCTCAGATACAGACTTTTGAAATAATTATACTTACCACATTCAAGGAGATAGAAGACAAGACTGAGATTTTTGGCAGAGTACTGGAAACTGTAAAAACAAATATAAATTCTAGAACTGAGAAAATCAGTAAGTAAAATTAACTCAAGTGAATGAGTTTAAATAGCAGGTTAGACACATCTGAAGAGAGAATTAGTGTACTGAAAGATATAAGATGAAAATAACCAGAGACAGAATGAAAGGAATTAAGAGAGAATAAGAGAGAGAGAGAGAGAAAATACCATTTAAAGGTCTGGTGCGTGTATTTAGAGTTCCAGAAGGGGAAGAGAAAGAGGATGGATCAAAACCAGGATTTGAAGAGAAAATGGTTTAGAACTTTCTAAAACTGATGGAAAACATTAGTCCATAAATTACAGAAATGATATGAACCCTGAGTGGGAGAAGTACCAAAGAACTCTACGTATATAGGCGTCATTGTTAAATTGCTGAAAACCAAAAGCAAAAGAAAAATCTTAAAAGGAGCTAGAGAGCAAAGGAAAATTACCTTCAAATAAGGAACAACTAGCTGGTAGCTGTCTTCTCGATAGAAATGATGGAATCAAAAAGTCAATCAAAGGCCATTTTTAAAGAGCTGAAAGAAAATAACTGTCAACTTAGAATTTTATATCCAGTAAATGGATGAATGATCATAGAAATATGCAATGGAATATAAGACAGCAATGAAAATAAATAGCCTACAGCTATACAGTTGTGAAACAAATACATTATTGAGCAAAAGAAACCAGATTTTAAAAAGAACACATACTGTATGATTCCATTTATAGAAAGCTCACCTAAAGTATAGTGTTTAACAACGCATGCTTGGGTGGTAAAACTATAAAGGAAAATGAATAATTACCATGAAAATCAGATTGTGGTTACCTATGGGGAAAGGTCAGGGAGGAGTGCTTGGGAAGGGTTGCGAGGAGGTGCTCCTAGGATGCTGGCAGTGTTCTGTTTCTTATGATTACATTGGCGTTCATTTTGTGACAGTTCATTGAGGCATATATTCACATTTTGTAACTTTTCTCTATGTGCGATATATTTTGCAATAAAACGTTTTAAAAATAAATTTTAACAGCATTCACTGAGTAAAACAATAATGATATGGATACTTTTAAAGGATAGAACTAAAATATGGAACAAAACGTTTGGGAAGTTTAACTTCATAAGTAAGCTCCTTGTATTATTGGGGGAGAAGATAGGGAGTTCATGACCAGCCTGGTCAACATGGTGAAACCCCATCTCTACTAAAAAAATACAAAAATTAGTGGGCATGGTGGCGTGCACCTGTAATCTCAGCTACTCAGGAGGCTGAGGCAGGAGAATTGCTTGAACCTGGGAAGCGGAGGTTGCAGTGAGCCAACATCGTG